GGGGGTGAATGGTTTATGACATTTTTATACTTAGGTGGAGGGGAGTTCTGGGCCGTAGATCATTCGAAGATCAACGGCCTAAATTGATTGCCGCCTAAACGACACCATTTGGTCCTTAGAGGGGGTGGACCGGTTCAAAGGGGGTTGGGCTTGGATATTTGGGCTAACGTTTGAGGTTTGGGCTAGTTTAAATTGGCCCAATTCAGCCAAGACCCCCTTTTTCTTAATTTTAAAAACTAATTAATTTAAATAAATCCTAAATTAAGTACTAAATTATCTTAATTTATAAAATTTAATGAATTATCTATTTGTATTATTTACATAATTAGTCAATCTTAAATTTAAAAAGGAAAAATTACTAATTTAATACTAAAACTAAAAAAATATCACAAACAATTTTTTTTGTGATTTTCTTTTAATGAAGTAATTAAATTTTGTAATTAGGCATTAAATTAAATTAAAAACCTAATAATGCAAGACGATGAAGGTTGAAATATTTTTTGTTAGTTTTTCAGAACTTTAAAAATAATAAAAAAAAAAGATGAAACTAAAATGCAAATAATACCAAATAAATGCCAAAAAATCCTTAAAAAAATCTAAAATAAATAGATTTATTTATTAATTTTATAGGAATATTTTAATGGGATAAAAATTACATGCTCACAGCTGCCCCTCTTTGCTCGGAAACATGAAGAGTTTTCCGGCAAAGACAAAGTGAGCAGTCACGAACACATTTTACCCGTTTCGATACTCCATAGGAAGCATTTGCAAAACTTTGACCGAACCTTGCTTCAAAGGTTGCCTACATATCCTTGGCTATAAAGGAATCAGGTTAGTATAGTTTTGGAAGTTTTGGTAGCTGGGACTACCGGAAAGCTGTAATTTCACTACGGTTACTGCGGTTACTACTGCCTGGTTCCTTATTACACCAAAGTAAAAATGAAGAAAAATAATTAAACCTATCAGCTACGAGTTACAAGATTCTGATTTATAAGTCTTTTGAAACTTGATCTTGCAGACTCTGTTCTGGATCTTGATGCTTGTTAGCTGCAGGTGCTGGTTCAATCTTCTTCATCTTTTTCGGATTAAGACGGGACATGCAAACTGGTGACTTCAATCTTATTTTGAGTAGTCCATATCTTCTCCGCTTCTGTACTTTGAGTTTAACTTTTCTTTTTTCTTCTTTTCTTTTATTCTGGATCGAGCCCTCTTCTTTTGGTTGTCTCGAACCCAGTACTTTAAGGTACAACCTGCATCAGAAATCAAAACAAACGAAACGAACGAAATTTTTCTGCCCCAGTTTTTACTAGAAACATTTTGTGAGTTATTTGTAACCAAAATTCTATATTACTTCATTATTAAAAGAAATAAAAGTTAGGATTATGTATCATTGGGGAAAAGAGATAAGGGAGTGGAGACCCTATGTCTAAAAGTAAAATCAACTAGGGATTGGAAACTCTATGTTGGGAAAATCACTAGGTTATACTGGCATCAACTAGAGAGTGAGACCCTATATTGGAAAGTCATCAGGTTATGCTGGCATCAACTAGGGAGTGAGACTCTATGTTGGAAAGTCATCAGGTTATGCTGGCATCAACTAGGGAGTGGGCCCCTACTATGTTGGAAAGCCATCAGGTTAGGCTGGCATCAACTAGGGAGTGGGCCCCTACTATGTTGGAAAGCCATCAGGTTAGGCTGGCATCAACTAGGGAGTGAGACTCTATGTTGGAAAGTCACAGGTTATGCTGGCATCAACTAGGGAGTGAGACCATATGTTGGAAAGTCATCAGGTTATGTTGGCATCAACTAGGGAGTGAGACCATATGTTGGAAAGTCATCAGGTTATGTTGGCATCAACTAGGGAATGTGACCCTACGTTGGAAGGTCATCAGGTTATGCTGGCATCAATTAAGGAGTGTGACCCTACGTTGGAAAGTCATCAAGTTATGCTGGCATCAACTAGAGAGTGGGACCCTACGTTAGAAAAGTCATCAAGTTATGCTGGCATCAACTAGAGAGTGGGACCCTACGTTAGAAAAGTCATCAAGTTATGCTGGCATCAACTAGGGAGTGAGATCCTACGTTAGAAAAGTCATCAGGTTATGCTGGCATCAACTATGGAATGGGACCATATGTTGGAAACGATACTAGGGAGTGGATACCCTATGTTTAAGATAAAGTCAACTACGGATTGGAGACACTATGTTGGAAAAAACTCAGCTAGGGATTGGAGACCTTGTACTACCATAATTTTTAACTTTTCTTCTTTTCTTTCTTTTCATTTCATTTTTCATCATTTTTTTATTTAAGGGATTGAGTAAAATGCGGGAAAGAATTTGGAGGAGACTTTCCTTTTGGATTGATTATTGCTGCAGAGCCATTTTAGTCTCTGCGCGGTTTCTTTTTGTTGCACCTGTTTCTTGCAAGGTTGCTTTGAATTACACCTGCTTCCTGTTTTTTCAAACAAAGAACAATTTGTCAGTTTGAAATAGTGGTTGGTTTTGTGTCCTTGAATATTTTGGTTCCTCAATCTCAGCCTGTTTCTTGGACGAAGATCTCGATTACTTGCTTGCTCTGGGGATTGGTTTCATTCTTAACCTTGGGATATTAACTTTTCCAAAACTTTAACATGATGGTTAATCATGTGAGACTTAACCTTTTCAACTTTATTTTGCCTTTGTGGGCATTTGACTTTGATTTCCTTTCTTTTCAGGAGCTTTGATTTTCAAAGCATCGGCCATTATGGCCAGTCGAAGTTGGCTCAATGCGCTTGCCGAGGCTGGGTGCCTTCTTGAATATTGACTTGTATCAAACAAAATCCTGTAAACCAATCTTACCATCTTTTCTTTGTCTTAGTATTGAAACAGAGTTAAATTGAAAGAGATTCAAAGAAAAACAAACAATGAAACGGACAAATGAACTTAGACGAGAGGTATCCCTTTCGAAGGAAGGAAAGAAGGACTTATTTTGAGTGCATGCAGACTTTAATGAACATGACATGTCTCTTGAACTGGATGTCCGATCTGTGTAAACTGTCCAACTTTCAGAAATTCATTACAACTTATGCTTTCAAACCAAGAAACCTTGCCAGGTTTCTGTTGATGCCGAACAGTCGTGGGGATCCTTTTTTCGATCAGTGGCGCCCTTTGCGTGTTTTCACCAACTAACCTCTCTCGTTTCTCTTCTCACCATTGCCTTGTAGTGTTCTTTGCGAGTTTTCACTAACAAGACTCTCTCATTTAATTTTCTCTACTTACCATTGCCCTATGGTGCTCGTGTGGGTTTTCACCAATAAGACTCTCTCATTTGATTGTATCAGATCCAAATAACCATATCTTCCAATTTGAACATCTTTATCGATTGATCTGAAGGACTTGAACAAGATTTGGGCAAAAAGAATTTGAATTGAATTACAACTTTGGAACCTTTCAGGCAAAACTATTACCAGATCATTGTAACTTCTGCCCCTGTCACAATCTGAATTTCCCACTGTCGGGACCGTGATGGCGCCTAACATCGCACTCGTTAGGCAAGCCAATGTTAGAGTTCTATTCGCCTTTTTGCTTTATATTTTATATTTAAAATTAACAAAACTAAATCAAACTGGGATAATGTGGAAGTACATAATAAACCGCTGATCTATATACTATTAAAATACCGAAACGGTTACCACCCGGAAACGGGTGTCACAACCCACGAACATTCTATGAATATCTACAAGTATTGGTCTGAAAGAAAAGTACATCTATCTTGAAAGAAAACAAAACAGGAATGTAGAACATAGGAGGGGACTTTAGGGTCTGGGGACGCCTGCGGGACTACCTTAGGTCTCCTAGATGAATGCCTGCAACCGACCTCTCGATCAGCCACAACCAGCCCCAAAATCTGCATAGAAAGTGCAGAGTGCAGTATCATTACAACCAACCCCATGTACTGATAAGTGCCAAGCCTAACCTCGACAAGGTAGTGATGAAGCTACGGCAGACGTTTATAATGTAACCTGCATACAATTTATAATAAAGCAAAAAGGAAGTACGGGACAAAATGGAACAGTAACTTGCAACAATTAACTACGAAACCCAGTTG